GTCGCTTAAGCAATCAAAACACCAATCTATGTACAGGGTAATGTTTAAGAGTGGAAAGCAAAATTTTTTTAGTGTAAGTGGATCCAATTTGATTCGTGTTATGTCTTAACGAGTAATCTGAGAAGTAAAAAACGAGCTTAGCGCTTACGCCGAGAGAAACCTGAGCTCTTGCAGCTGACTGTTGATTTTACTTGAAAGCATGTTTACTTTCTATGTCAAAACTGTGGTTCCGTTAATTTTTTTATTTTCAAGTTGACTCGTTGGTTGTGACTGCCAACTGATGGCCATAGCGAAGGATACAATCGCTAAGGGGGTTTGATTACGTCATTTTTTACAGCTGTAGGTTGAGTAAAAAAACGAGTATAATAAACAACTAACTACGTTTACAATGCAAGGAGGGTCAGGTCGAACAGAGCGAGTTCTATTACCAATGTACAAATAAAGGGAAAAGTAAAGCTTTTCATCGTTGGGATGTTGGTCTTCCTTCATTTTCATGATTGGGGCACTTTGGCACCGTTCTTGTAATGAAGTCGATGATGCGGTGGCGATTTCTGTTTCTGTGCCAACTGCATAGAGAACCTCATTTTTTTAAAGGCACAGTCTACAGCCACGTAGCAAGCGCAGCTTGTAGTCTCCTGTTTACTTCTCACAGAGTGACACTCATTTATCAGCCTCAGAAGACAGAAGCACGAGTGACTCCGACGTGGGCTTGAACGCTGGACCAATTGGTTGTGTGTTCGATAGCCTACCGACTGAGCATCCCGGTCTGAAGTAATGCATGGTAAATTCCTCGCTCAAGGGAATTTGAGAATAAGGTAAAGATTGCCCTCGAGCGGAATCGAAGCCGGCATCTATGGAGTTCAAAGAAGACCTGCCGGACAGCTGTATCAACACGTTACTAACGCATAGCAACAGTCTCCCTACACTCAATACTAAATGTTCCTGCAATCGATTGAACCTTAGCCGATATGCTTATAATTTTAGACGAACAAGGCATGCTGTAGCTAGCATGTGTCTATCAAAGCGTAAAGACCATGAGGAAAACATCAGTGGACTACAGAACTGTGGTGGTAGCACCGCTGTTGAAGAAGAGAGACCATTAAGGGTATTCCAGTCATTAAAGTATTGCCTTACTGGCCACAAGGGTAAAGCCTATGAAATGGTTTGCATCAAAAGTGCCGCAGAACAACATTACATCACAGTGCAAATCATCATACTGACAATCAGCTGAGTCACAGGAGTATAGGGCATAGGACGAAGTGGCAGCATTTCTTGCCCATTCAGACCTGACCACACCGGATCGATCACCTTGTTGTGCCTAAACGGTAGATCTGCTAACCGTTTCTTGGTTGGTTGCACCGAAACAACGTGATGTAAATTCATCATTCGAGGGAATTCGCCCTTACGTCAAAGATCGCTCTTTTTCAGTATTCGAACCTCATTTTTTTACTACTATGCCACAGCACTCTCGCACTTTTGGACAACGTGTAACATTCACTTCGTAGTCAGTATGAATGTAGAAGCAAAACATGTATTTGATTCGCGGTAACTCAAAAGCAAACATAATCAGTCACATTCTGTGACGAATCCAACTGCGCATGCGTTTGCTTGTCAGCCTAAATTTTAGACCAAATTTTCTGCTCCAGATGCTGACTCTCTTTGCCAGTTCTTCTAACCTCGCTGGTGATTTTGCGATTATCACCACGCTGTCCTATGTACCGTAAATTTGTAATCGACTTCCCTGTGATCGTGAAAGATCCCACGTTCAGCGTTTCCACCTCGGTTGTACAGAAGTTTCAAAATATGCGGCGGATAACAACAGACTGCAGTTATACGCACTCCATGGCTGAAACCTCTCCAGAGAGTTACGTACGCGAACTCTGTCCTCATTCAGAGCAGTCTTTAAGGGCATTTGCAGTCAGCAGTCAGTTAACAGATCAAATGAAAAGCAATGACCATTCGTGTACATCGTCGCATATCTCTCGTAAGACTTGCATTCCGCAGCACTTACACTCTGTAGCGCAACGATCATACCCTTTTTTCGTCGTTTCACTTTTGCAGTGCACTTAAAACTGCGCCGCGTGTTACGCCCAGCTGAGAGCCGCCGGGAAGTGCATCACAATCTGTAGTAATTTCGACCTCGACTAACCTCGAGGCCACGATAATCATACGTAAGATGATGCCGCTAGATCAAAGAACAAACACCTCTCGATCGAGGCACTAATTACGATCGTTTGCATAATTACGAGTCACAGTTTCGTATCTAAAAGAGGGATGATTTTCGTTCAGCTGGGCTGTCGAAAGTGCATGCGGCATGATGGCCTCAAGGTGACAGTTATTTTTGCTGCAGAAAGTACGTTTTCGTTCTCGAGCTGTCGATTTGCATCTGTTGCACGCGAACGCACGCCGAAACTGGTTAGGTGCAACTTTGAGGTGATGCTTGAGCGAACTCACTCATCAACTGCGTCGCTACATTCGCCGTCGTCATCACTGCGCCTTTGGTCGTTTCTCGTCTCGGCGCGATTCCGCAACAAAGACTGGTAAGTCTCGTTCTCGTTTTGCTTCACCTTTGTTAAATATACCGAAGTAAGCATTATTAATGACAAATGATTAATTATCGCGCTTAATTCAATTAAATATTTTAAAATTGATTATTTTCTCCTTTATACGGGAGATTAATCCCACGGTGTCTTTAAAGTTTAAAGTTTCAAAGTGTACGTGCGATACAATTCGATTAGAAACATGAAGACCAAGTAATTCAATATTTTTCGTATATCGATGCTGGTGTGTTTTAAGCGAAAATGCGACGTGTCCGTTTCAGACGTATTTAAATGATTGAGGTTTCGCAGAATTGCGTATGAATCGCTTAAATGCTTGTTTTCAAACTAAGCAAGTCGATCTGACTGTGAAAAATGTGGCATTTGCATTTTTGTGGCTCTGCAGTGACTGGATGGTTCGCAACGACTCGCCATTGCTCGCACAGTTCTGCAAATACGCCCATGGTTTGTTGAGCAAAATCGAGTCGTAGACTTTCTCTAGGTATATAAACCGTGTAGATTTCTCACCAATCTGTCGTACGACGAAGATCTGATCAGAGGTACTTTGGCCTGAACAAAAGTTACACTACACTTTTTGCATCTTGGAGTAAGCTATTCCGCGATACCTCATTTCCAGCACCCTTACTCAGAAGATTCAGTAAGGTAATTCCCTCAACGAAACACTCCCTTCAAACTATCCATTCTTGAACAGTGTGAGTATTACAACCCCGTAGTAACTGCAGGTTGATAGAAACGTTTCAAGGCTGATTTCATCGATTCGAGCAGCATTGTCACGTTTCAAGTTTTTCACACCATCCGTGACTTCATCGACTGAATATCCGTTGCCTGCTGTTTTTCAGGCGAATCATTCTGCGGTTGCTCGAGGATAAGGAGTTGCTCAGTCTACTCTTTCCATTGCCAAAGTACATCTCTTTCCTTCGTAAGAAGTCGTCTTGACTTGTTCTCTATGACTCTTACATTGCCCTTCTTTCCATCTTGCAGACGGAAAGAACAACCTGCTTGCCGTCAGTGTAAATTCGACTCTAACATCTCATTGAACTTTTTCCAAACATCAGTTTTCCTTTGGCTAATGCCTTCGTATCGCGTCTAAAGCTTCTTCGTACCGCATCTGAATCGAAGGTCCTTTGCTTCCAAGACACACATTGAATACAGCCTTCTTCTTAACGACAGCCAGCTGAACCTCAGCTCTTCACCATGAAGTCTGTTTCTGACTCCAAGTGACAGTCATCGCCCTATAAACCCAGCATTCAGCTGTGCTCCCGAATAGGTCGCCTTCATTGACCTTCCATGTTAGCAGTCATCATGAGATCTGTTCAAAGAGTCATGCGATGTTGTTCGGTAGTATGAACTTCATATTTGCTGAAGATCACGCTGAAGATCACGTTTCTCATTTGATTGTCACGTCTTTATATTGTATACCATTTTCTGAGACGGGCGACGCCGGCAATAAGGTAATGATGAGTTGACAACTCTGCTCCTTTCCTGAGGCGATCATGCATTACAGAGAGTCGTACTTCCTATGATATGATTATAAAATCGATCATCAAATTTTGTGCACTAGTTCCCCATACCAGATATAGGTACAATCAGTCAATCATTTTAGTTCTATAAAGAATAACGAATGACCGCTTGTCAATGATTATACACAATGACTCAAGCCTTAAAGAGGTGATGTCTGAATATAATGTAGCTGTCAGCTAGTCCTACAATTTTCTAAGCATCTGAAAGCTAGGAAATGGTAGGTATGAGTATATGGTAATAATCCTGATTAGTGACAGGAAAAATGGAGCATAACCTAAAATTCTTACTGATTCAGTTTCAGTGAATGAAATAAGAAGTCTTCAGGACAGGTCGTCTGATGCGATGGTTACAGGTACAAGCAAGAGCCAACGACAAACGTTCATCTTAAGCCAGAGAGCGGCTTAAAATGCAACAAATTTCGACTGTTCCATTGCAAGACGTTTTGTCGAAAGGCAGGCACATAATCATCAAGAACATACGTACAATGAAACCTTCACCAGATGAGTCCAAGCATCTTTACAGATCACCTCAGACGCGACCCTAGTCCCATTACACTCTAGCTATCAGTAAGAGCATACTGTGGTATCACGCAGCTTCCATTCATAGCTTCCTGCCCTGGTATAAACTATATCTTTAGCAAACAACATCGTGATACAGATACAGTAAGGATAACACAACACAGTGCAATAGTCGAAAGAGGCGTTGACCAAACGGTTAGCAGTTCTTCGCACAACATGGCCAAGGAATGCAGACAGATTCTACAGCAGCAACAGCAGAGACTCGTATTTTGTCGTACCTATCGAAAGTAGGACAAGGATTCTTTCTATGAATTACTGACCTTCCAAAGCAAGAAAGATCCTTCGCTGTTTCGTCGTGCGAAACCAGTCGAGAAGCAGACAGCTAAGAGAGATATTATATGCTGTAATCAGGCGGAACTCTTTTGCAGTAGTCTGATTACAGCTTACTTACGAACACTTCTGACACCGAACCTGTAGTACATGACTCAATCCTATGCTTATAGTACTATATTGATCACCTTCTCATCATTCCAACGTAACCTCAAACAGTTACCTGTGACTACGGTAATTTACGAAGCTGCTGTATTCTTCTTAACATCGTGGCTGTTCCTAGGAGAAAGGTCGCTTTCTGCAGTTCATCCACCTTGACAGCTTCATCAACGGCGTTCAGTAGGCGCTGATGCAGACGTTTTTTTCACTGCTTCACTAATGATTAATCAAGTATTGCTGTAGTTCTGAGGGAGGAAAAAAGGAGGGCGGCGCGAAGTGCATCGACTATGTGACACCTGATCAGCGTACGACGTTATTTGGCCTGAATCATTTTTGACAGCTTCGTATTCATTAAGCTAATTGTCAAAAATTTAACTTCGTTCTAATTCTCTCAAAACTAAAGAGGATATAAATTTTTACCACTGAAAGAGGAAAGGAGAAGTACAACCGGGATAAACGTATAAAGACCTTCCCGCGAATGTACTTGTCAACTAAATTTAATTAGTAAACACAACCCTCCCTCATGTTCTAGAGTAGCCACCAAAAATGGTAGTTTTTCGATTCTGTTGTTCACTGTGACTAACGGATCATACAAGCAGGCCACGGCTCCATGGTACCTGATCACTTGCAGTGCATAACCGCATCTCTGAAATGAGCTGAATACGTAGACGTTCGAGCACCATCCATATCTGTCACTATCCGTAATCAAATATAGAGACAAAACAAGATCCTGATATAACGGTGTAGCCACTGCATACCTTTGACTAATATCAATCTACCCTTTTCTAACGGTCAGACATCATAAATCTGGGTTACTATACTGTTTAAGTTTAGTTGACCTGAGACGATGATGTCAGGACAACAATAAAAAACCACATAGTTGCTAATTCACCAATTCCGCGGGTAATCATAATATTCATCCTAGGCAAGTAGAAATAAACGGGCTGTGTAAATCCGGCATTAAGGATTAGATATCTGTCGGAAACTCAGAGTGAAATTACAAAGCTACCATTAATGCTAGCTACCTCAGATTATCGACGTTATGATTTATTTAATTTTAGTCGGTTTACTTTTCAGTGTTTTCCAGAAAGTAAGTCAAGTGTACTTAACCTGGAGGAAAATAGTTTTTGCCAAAAGATTGAAGAAAATCGTTTAGTGTCTATTGCTTGTGAAAAGGTCAAAGACATTTTGAAAGAAACCGCGTGACTTTGGCAAAAAATGACCTTGAAGAACTTAGTCATCATGCTTTTTCTCACTGTCGGTAAGCATAGGCCAGAAACAATTGTTTTCCACTTTCAGCAACAGAGTTCCATTTTACGGTCCAGTAGCGACTCAGACTTCAAGTGGAAAATTTCTCAGGGTCTGCTACTATCCGGAATGGGCAAAGTACAGACCTCCGACGGCGAACCTGAGGCTGAACGAGGTCGATCCGTTCTTGTGCTCTCACGTGATCATTGCCTTCGCTCAAGTGGTGGAAAATGAGGTCCGCTGGCCTGAAGAAGATGACGAGCATACGATGCTAGACAACGTCAAAACGCTGAAAACGATAAATCCGGATCTCAAGGTAAAAATAATCGAAATTGTTTAAAAATAATAGTGCTTAGAAGTAACTTCATTTGCCAGCTGCGTTTTGGCCTGGTTGAAGACCATGCACAATTTAGATGGCTTTTTACAGCTGCCGCCATTAGAGTGCCGTCACGTGACGTAGTACGTACTATTCCAGCTCAGTCGACTGATTCCTAAACCATAAAAGTCGAACCCTGTGAAAAGCCGTTATTCGCCATTATTCAAACTTAGTATCCCTATGAAGGAGAGCCGAGTTAGAGATCGTATAGGACGACGTATAATGTATTGTGAAATTACGGTAGAAATGACGAACTTTGAAACAATTCGAAGATGAAACACTTTTTAAACGGTGTGTCAAAAAGA